GCTGGGACTGGCTTTGCTCTAATCCCGACCGCTTGTTCACACGTCTCACCTCTGGTGCTCCATGTTTGCAGGGCTGGCCTTACTCTAGCCCCAAAGGCGTGGTTGATCTCCAGCTCAGCTGCTCCCTACAACGTCCTAGTCTCTTTGTTAGAGCAGAGGTATGTGTAGATTAGGTTTGGATCCACCTGGTGGGCATTTTTACAGTTGTCAAATGTATGATTGGAAAAGACGTATGTGGTAGTTGGTATAGCCTCTAAATTGACTGCTTGACCTCTGGGGAAGACCTACTAACGATGAAAGGCCAAGTGGAATCTTTTGAAACTGCCTGTCTCCAGTGCCCAATATAGTAAATCAAAAGCCAGTGTCTCATTCTGCGAGGAATGGCAGAGATTAGTGACCTTAAAGAATGTAAACAGTTCTTTTAACGCAGCACTCTGGTGCTTGCAAAAATAAAACCCAAATCCATCCAGATGGATTTTGAAGACTAAGTGGATCTATTATAGGCTCAAACCCATTTTCAGTTACTGTATCAGATGGGGCTTTGGTAGGACATGAACACAATTGAAGGACATGATATAGGAGCACTGATTTGGGAAAAAGTCCTTGTTTCCATCACTATCAGAAATGAATACCAAAGATTTTTTTATTCATTTGAAATGAACAAACAACACTACATTGACTTACTTGTCCAGGGATATAAAAAAATTTTATTTCTGTGTCTTAATCTGAAGGAAATTGGACTGGCTGTTCATTTTGCAAAACATCATTCTATCCTAGGACTTCCTTTCAAAGTGAAGGACACATTATTGAATCTTATATCTGTCACCATGAAAAAGGAATACTCATGCCTGATAGACTACTTTGGGCTTTGAAAGAAACAGTCTATATGGTGTAATACTGACCTATTCCCTGTATCAAATGACACTAGGGCTTCAAACTTTGAATAGAATCCAGATCAGGAAAAGGTTTTGCAACAGATCCAGTCTGTGGTGCAAGAAGTCCTGATGCTTGGGTATTATAACTTGGCATACTTCCTGGCATTCGTGTCATGCTGGGAAAGTAAGTATATCATGTTGATTTTATGCCTAAGCCTCAATGGGAGAATAACAATAAAATCTTCGAGGTTTCTGGATCAAGGCCATTCCATCAGCACCTGAAGCAGAGAATATCTTCAAAAATAACCACTGGCAGGCTACTGACATTTGGTAAAGATGAAGCAACTAATTATGGGACACCAGCTAGCCAGGTGTCTGTGCCTGACCAGCAGGAGTTGAATTGGACCCACCAAATCAGTAAGGACAGGCAAGGACCGCAGCAGTCCACTGTGAAAGGCAGTGCCTTAATAATTAAATATGAGCAGAACGAAAGAACATGAGTAATCTGTGTAAGCAGGGAGTCCAGATTCTCATGTCATCTGCCACAATTGCGGCAGTGCTCCTCCCTCGCCTCCCTCAGCCATGGCAATGTGGGGATCCATCTTAACCAACTCCTGGAGGAGGAAAAATCTTGAGTTGAGTTCACAGGTCGCTCAGCTTGGTATATAAATGAAAGCCAGAAATTATTGGCAGCTACAGTACTGCCCCAAATAGTGATAACCTTGAAAATTTGGGGTAGGGACTCTTCCCAAAGGACAGATCTTTAGACCATGCACTTTGGTCATCTACTTTGTGTAAAGTGACCCAACACCCCTAACCTCAAAGGCAATGGTAGGTTTTCTGGACAATTAATTCAGGGGCCTAGAAGGAGAAATACCAGAAGATTGGACACAAGGAATTCTACAATAGAGACATGTAATGGAACTATGGGAATGACAACAAAGTGTGAAGATCTTTCTAAGTCATGTCAGCATTCACCAGAGGCAAATCTAAAGCAGCAAAGCCCAGCGGTAAATATCAACCCTTAGGGAGACAAGCCAGCCACTTGGTAACTAGGTGAGTGCACTGCACCCCCTTCATCCTGAGAGGAGCTTCATCTTGAATTAAAATTTATTACAGGTATGTTTTGCCTTCCCTCCTTATGAATCCTACCCTTCTGCACACAGCCAGCCTGCATCCTGAGACAGGGAGTATTTGGTCCACCTGTATGGGATCTAACAAAGTATCACATCAGACCAGGGGACTGGCTTTGCAGCAAAGAAGGCATAGCAGTGAAATTATAGCCATGAAATGCACTGGTCTATCACATACACCCAGAAGCTGCCAACCCCAAAAGAGTGATGAAACGTCTGGCAGAGAGCATATTTGAGGCAACTGCTCAAAGAGAATAATTGTGGGCATGAGGTGCCATTCTGCAGGACGCAGTATACACACTAGATCAATGGCTGATCTAGTGCTGTGGCCCCAACAAGTAGAACACGTGATTTGCAAGCTACTTACCAGTGCTCTCAATGATACATTTGGGGAATTTCTACTTCTTATTCCACACGTGGGCTCTGAGAGATCTTGGTGCTCAAAGGCATACCAACAGTCTCTTTGAAGAATAAACTCGCTGCTTCCTAGGCACTCTGGACTGCTCGTCCAAGAGACTGGCAGTCAAAGAACAGTCAGCATTCTGGGAAAGAACACTTGACTTTGATCACCGGGAAGTAGGTAAGTTGGCTTTAACGTAGTACAAACAGGAAAGAATACATTTGGCTCCCACACAGTCCACCTGGGTGTCTACGCTGTGCAGATGCCACCCGCTAGACTCTCCAGTTAGGGAGAGGTCTCACCTCACTGATAGCTTCAGTTAACATACCTCAGCTGCCACCTTTGTAATTTCTGAAGCTGAAAAGAGCCATGTCAACCAAGCTCATGCCCCATCTTTAGGGCAGTCTAAATCCAGGGATTTCTCAATATGGGGGGATCAAAGCCTTGTCCTTCATGAAAGCACTTTGTGGATGAGAATTTTTCATGGAGTCTCCTGTAACTGCACTGTAGGTTGTGTTCAACCTCTGCCCAGTCATACTACAGGCCTTTCTTTCACAGGTGTTAATCATGAGGACACTCCTTTAAAAAATTTCATACATCGTAGGCTGGAGAATATAGTTCAGTGGTGAAGTGCATGCTTAGCATGTGCAAGGCCCCAAGTCTGATACCCAGCGTAAAACAAAACTTCTCACATTCTAATCCTCTGAGAACTGCTTTCTGGGAACTCAAATCTGTGTAACTTAAGACCACAATGATGAGAATGAGTCAGATAACTGAAAAATTAGGGACTTAAATTCAAACAAGTAAAATTCAAAGCCCTAAGATGAGGAGTCTCATATGTTAAAAAACAAAAAGAAAAATTAAACAAAAAAAGAAACCAAAAGTTGTTTTCACCAGGCATAGTGGCACACACCTGTAATCCCAGCACTCGGGAGGCTGAGGCAGGAGGATTGCTGCGAGTGTAAGGCTGGCCTGGCTTACAGAATGAGTTCAGGACCATCCTACACTATCTAGTGAGATCCTATCTCAAAAAACAAAAAGAAGAATAGTTATATGAAATTAATTTAGAGCTACAATCATAACATAAGTCACACAGGTGACCATGGCAATTGGAAAACTTGGAATTTGTTCTTAAATTTCCAGTAATCACTATATGTCTTTATGAAAGAAAGAGGTATGATCTCATTTATGATTTGAAAAGACTCCTTTGAGGAGTATGATTGAAAGAAAAAGGACAAATTGGAGGCTTGTGTTATAGTTGGACTAAAATATTATAGCAGAATGGACTAGGGTGATGACTGGAGATGCAGAGATCAACATATATTTTGGAGTTAAAACTGACAAGACTTGCTATGAGTTGATGTGTGACTGAGGGAAAAGGAGGAAACTAAGGTGGATGTTGGTTTTGTGGCTTAAGGAAATGACAGCTAGGGGCTGGGGATTTAGCTCAGCGGCAGAGCGCCTGCCTGGCAAGGGCAAGGTCGTGAGTTCGGTTCCTGGTACCGGAGAAAAACTAAAACAAAAAAAAAAGAAAGAAATGACAGCTAATGGAGCAGTTTAGGGACATTGAAGACATTAGAGGAGGTTTCGAGTTTTGTATGCATAGTTGCTTGATCAGTTTAAAAGTGAGGGTTTGGGCAATTAGGAGTTCCATTTGGGACCTATAAACTTTAGACATTTCTGTAGGTAAAGAGTTCACACACAGATACACAAGCCTGATGCTTAGACCTAGAAAAAAGATACAGTGAAGATACCTAGAAAGAAAACACTTACCACTGTGAAAAATAAAGTAGGATTTTCTTTTCTGTTACAGAAGGTGTTTACCTTTATTTGCTGTCATTGGTGGGTTGTACTGAACTGAATATGTGCTCTAATTCTGAAGCACATGGTCTTGTATCCTAAGTCTTCCAGTTATATATTACTTTTCTTAAACTATTTTCACCTTATTTATATCAAAAATTTCACCAAAATCTTCTTACAAGCTTTATAGCATCCATGTCTGCTCCAGGTAAGCAAATAATATTCATGTATATATCTCCTTGAAGGTATCTATCTTTTCTTAAATTTCAGGCTTGTGTGGTTGCCTGGAAACCTTACTTACCTGATGAACTTGAGAAAGTTGTGATTTTGTAAATTGCTGAGCTTCTACCGGTTGCTAGATTGGAAATTATGTTTCTTCCAACTTTTTGCATCCTAAACAGAAACACTGCTAGTCTATCCATAAGAAATTTCAAGTGAACCTTTGGCATTTCTCCAAATTGAAATAGTCAGTGCAGAAGATTTGTGGCATTGTTGGCTTCAAGATGGTCATTGAAACTTGGGATATTTGTAGATCTACTGTGAAAAATCTAAAACTCACATTATACCTTCAAAATTTTTTTACACTTTCACCCTTTTACACTTTTCCTCATAAGATTGATGATAAGGTCTTGTTTCTTCTGTAGATGTTTATTTGCATGTTGTTCTTCCCAAACCATCATGATATATATGTATGTGTGTGTGTATGTATGTCTATATATATATATATATATATATATATATATATATATATATATATATATATAAAATTAGCATTTGTGTTTCCTCTCACAGGTATTCCAAGAGAATAACACTATCAAAGTAGCTGTAAAGGACTTGTCTTTGAATTTATATGAGGGGCAGATCACTGTTCTTCTAGGACCTAATGGGGCAGGAAAATCCACTACTCTATCCATTCTTTCAGGTTGGTATTCAGTGCTGGTCAGAAGTTGTCCTTATCCAGAAACTGTAGATAGAATAATATTTTTGTGTATTCTCTCATGTGTCAAGTATAGCCATTGCAGTGATGCATATAATAATCCACTTTCCTTTTAAATTTTCAAATAATTGTAAAATTTTAAAATTAATATTTTTGGGGAAGAGGCAATATGATAAAAGGTCAATCCAACAAGAAGACAATAATTATTAAACTATGTGTATCAAACTACAGAGCATCAAGGACTGTGGAGGATAGCCTAGTGGTAGAGTGCTTACCTAGCATCACAAAACCCTTGGTTTAATACCCAGTACCACAAAAAAAGAAAAATACATAGCAAAAACTTACATATTTGAAAAAGGAAATAGGCACATTTGCAGTTATTCTTGGAAGCTTTAATACTATTCTTCTAGTAATTGATCGAACTAGTAGATAGAAAATCACCTGTAGAAGCAATAAGAATACTGAAGAACTTTAACCACAATGTTAACAATAGGTGCTGTGAAAAAATGTGTGGCTCATATAATGAAGAAAATTGAGGCAACAGTAAATTCCTATAAGAGGTACCAGATTTCAGATATTTTGTACAAAGATATCAAAATAACTGTAACAAATAGTTCAAGTAACTTGAAGCACATGAAGACATTGAGACGATATCTCAACAAATAGAAAAAAAATCAATGAATAGGCAAGAATCTTAAAAAAAAAAATCAAATGGAAATTCTGGAGTACATGTAATAACCAAAGAGAAAAATTCATCAAAGAGAATTAACAGAAGGTGTGAACTGGCAGAAGGAAGAATCAGTGAACTTGAAAAGAGACTGGTACTATAAGTCTCCAACCTGGCCTGGCTCTCCCAGCCCCCAGCCTGCTTGCCAGCAGAAGCGCTGCTCTCTGCAGGGAATTCAGATCCCCACTCCAGGCTGTCATTGGCAAATACAGGAAAGGAGGTGAGCTAGGACAAGAAAGTTTGCAGGTCCTAGAGACATCTGGACACACCCAAGAATTTACACTAGACACTTTAAAGGACTCAGCCCACTAAGACGCAAGATTGCCAGAGAACTTTAACCACAGATTCTCACTGGGATCTTCCCACCTAATGCCCCTGCCTTCTCTCCATCCCTATAAAAGGACACGATTCTCTCTTTTCAGTGTAGAAGGTCTTATCGCACTCTCTGCCTGAACCCAGGCACTATAAATTCCATGCCCTGTTGCCTTTACACAGGCCTGGTGGCCTCTGCTGGTTACATATGTTACAGGTAGATTGTGCAGTCTGAATAACAAGAAAAATTAACAGAATCAGAGAAGTCCTGAATATCTTTACATTATCAAATATTTGCATAGTGTGCATGCTAAAAGGGAAGGAGAAAGAAAAGCAGAAAAAGAAAAGCACTGAAAAATAATGGTTGAAAATTTTCTAAATTTTCTGAAAATATCAGTCTACATATTCAAGAAACTCAACAAACCCCAAATACAGTACATGTAAAGAGGTACATGCCCAGACACATCATAATGAAAAGTCTGAAAAATAAGAGAAACGTTGAAAGCAGCAAGAGAAAAATGGCTCCTAATGTGCAACAGAGCCCCCAGTAAAACTAAAGGCTGACTTACGAGAAACAATGAGACCAGATCTCAGTGGGGTGATGTACTCACAGTGCTAAAAGAAAAACTGTCAAGTAAGTCTCCCATCTGTTTTCAGAAATAAACATGAAATGAAGATGTTCTGGGCCAGCGATATAGCTCAGTGGCATAGGTGCCTGCCTGGCAAGTGCAAGGTCCTGAGTTCAATTCCTGGTACAAAAAAAAAAAAAGAAGAAGAAGATGTTCCCAGATAAATAAAACCTGAAAGAATTCATTGCCAGCAGATCTGCTTTGCCTACATAGACAGTTCTTTGTAATTAGTACAAATTTGAAGTGTAGGTTCTGATAAGATATATTGTGAGCTTCAGAGCAACTATGAAGAAAATAAATCAAAATTATATAAAAATAATTAAAAGAATTAAGATGTTATACTAGAAAATACTTAATGTAAAAAAAATGACAAAGATACAGAATAGCAAAGACATGAGCTAGAAAACAAAAATTACAACCATAACCCCAACTATGTGAATAATTACATATGAATATTAATACTATATGAATATTAATCTGTACAAAAACCAGAGATTGTGAGATTGGATGAAAAAATAAGATCCAACTCCATGCTGTCTAGAAGACACCAATGGTTGATTCAAAGATACAAATAGGTTGAAAATAAAGGATGGAAAAGAAGATATTGTATGCAAAAAAACTGCAAGAAAGCTACAGTAGTACAGATACCAGACAACACAGACTTTCAAACAAAAAATCTTCCTAGAGAGAAATATGTTTTATAATTGCAAAAGGGTCACTTCATCAGGAAGTTAGAACAATTATAAGCACACCTAACAACAGAGCCTCAAAATATGCAAAAGAAAAAAGAAACTCACAGAATTTAAAAAAGAAATAGATAAATTCAAAAATCTTAATTGGACAGAGTAATACCTTGCTTTCAATAAAGAGTAGAACTAGACAGAATATCAACAAATAAAGATTGGAAAACTACTGCACAAAAAAGAGACCTACCAGCTATATGTACAAACCCAGCTGCAACAAAATGTACACTCTTCTGAGCTACACAGGGAACACTCCAGGATTAGCAGTATAGTGGGTGTGAAATTAAAAATTAATAGCAAATAAATTTGTGAAACTCACAAATTTGTGGATATGAACACCAAATGCTAATGGACAACAGTGTCATAAAGGATATTAAGAAATACCTAGAGAAGAATGAAAAGGAAGACACAATATACCAAAACTAATGGGATGCAACTAAAAAGAATGTTTAGAGACATAAATGCCTATGTTTAGAAAAAAAGTTCTCAAATACATAAGCAGTTTCACCTTGAGACACTTAACAAAGAGCAATCTAAACCTAAAGCAAATAGAAGGGAAGAAATAATGACTAGAGTATAAATTAGTAACATAAGGCATATTCAAAACACTAGAGAGAATTAACAGAAGCAAAAGTCAGAAATGAAAGCTAGAAGTCAAGGTGATAAACAGTTTTGTTCTAAAGCAATCAAAATTAGGATAACTTCTTAAAAATGGGAACTCTGCAATATTCTAGAGGCTGAGGCAGGATTACAAGTTCAAGGCCAGCCTGGATACATAATGAGTTCAAGGCCAGCCTGAAATACATAATGTATCCTCCCCCCACCCCCAAAAAAGAAAGAAAAAAGAAAACTCTGGAATAAATGTGAAAGCAGATAAGCCTCCAGAACAACAGGAGTAATTTAGGACACTGGTCACTCTCATTGCAGTGAGCACTTTTATCCTCTTGGTGCATGTTCTTAAAATAGGACTAATGAGCAGGGTGTGGCGGTGATGCTTGTAGTCCCAGCCACGTGGGAGGCCAAGCAACAGGACTGCTGGACCCCACCAGCTGAGAAACAGCCCAGGCAGCGGAAGGGAAACCCTGGCTTTAAAGGGAAAAAAAAGATTTATGATTTATCAGGCTTACAGGGATATTTTCCCCTTTAAATTTAAGCAGTTAACACAGGTCTGACCTTCCAGGTTCTGAGAGTTTCAGTCTAAGGCAGTGCACAGATTGTGACATAATTCATAGATGTTTCAAATGACTGGTGATAATGCTGGATGTCCCCGTACCACACTCTCACGTTTTTGTTGTGGTTTGCACTCATCCATACTCATTAAAAATTAGAATATACAGTTAAACAGAAGTAGAAAATGAATATTATATCTAATATCATTATCTTAAAAATAGCACTAGATATTTTCTGGAATTTTCTTCAGTATGAGATATTGCTAATGAATAATCCATGTATAGATTACAAGTTTGAAGTGTTAATGAGGAGGCTGTCCTCATGTTCCCTCACAATAGCTGTTTTTATTTTATTTCCTGCTTGATTCTAGGTCTCTATCCTGCTACCTCTGGGAAGGCCTATATCAATGGATATGACATCTCACACGATATGAACCAAATCAGGAAATCCTTTGGCGTGTGTCCCCAGAAGAACCTGTTGTTTGATTACTTGACAGTGTCAGAACACCTTTATTTTTATTGTATGGTGAGCCACAGATAATTTTCTTTTCCCCCGTCTACCCACATACAACAAGTAGACTGCCAGCTATTTTACCTTTGTTCTAGTAAAGTTCAAAAATACAATTTTGATGAAGTCTTCTTTAAACATAAAAAGAATGTTAAAGCTGATGTAGTTGGAGGCACCATATAAAACTCTGGTTCCTCTTTCTAGATCAAAGGAGTGCCTCACAAAATGTGTCTCAAGGAAATCGGCCACATGCTGTCAGTTTTTAAACTGCTAGAAAAACAGTCTGCATTTTCAAAGTCACTGAGTGGGGGAATGAAGCGCAAACTCTCCATCATCATAGCACTGATAGGGGGCTCCAAGGTAAGTACAAAAAGAAAAAGAAAAAGAAAGCTAAAAATGGGTTCTGCTATACACTATAGCTTGCCTGACAAAAAAGCTCACACAAATTCGAAAGCTTGTACGAATCTATCACTCTTTTAAGAACAAATTCCAACATCAAAGTCAGATGGGGCTGGGCATGGTGGCACATGCCTATAATCCCAGTACTTAGGAGGCTGAGGCAGAAGGATTGCCCAGAACTTGATGCCAGCCTAGGCTACAGAGTGAGTTCAAGGCCACCCTGAACTACATAGCAAGACCTTGTCTCCAAAAAACACCAAAATAGATGAGATTCACGTTATCAACCTCATTGGAATAAAAAGGCCACAAGTTTGGAATGACTTCAGCATTCCTAATTAGTTTTGTCTAAGTTCATTCTCTTTGCTTAGTTTGTTTTTTTTTTATAAGCAATAGAAAAGAAATGAGCAATTTTCTGCCCTCACTTTTTTTTATTTTAAAAATAAGAGGAAAACATTAACAGACAGACAACCTTTTACAAAAAAGCAAAAGAACAGTACAGACAATACAGAGTTACAAACAAAGTGGTAAGAAATTAACAATGCTTGTTGTATTACATATTGATATCTTCAAAGTGGTTTCTCATGAAAACAAATAGAGACATGCAATATTGATCAATCAAAGACTCATTATCTTTGCTTAGTTGACAAGTGACTGAAAAAGCAAAACAAGAATAAACCCTATGGCTGGTAACACATTACTGGTGTCAGCAAATAATGTTTGTGTGGTCATAGAATTGTTCTGCTGGTCTTTAGGTGGTGATAGTTGATGAGCCAACATCTGGCATGGACACAGCCTCCAGGAGGGCCACCTGGGATCTCCTCCAGAACTATAAACAGGGTCGCACTATCCTGCTGACCACCCACTACATGGATGAGGCTGATGTGCTGGGTGACCGCATAGCCATCATGGTCAACGGGTCCCTGAAGTGCTGTGGTTCTTCAATGTTCCTGAAACACTTATATGGTATCACTCCTTTTGATCCTCCTTAGGCTATTGATGCCTTAATAATATTTTTGTAAGATAATTTTCACTGTTTTTAGATACCCAAAACTTCAGTGTTTCTCTCTGTCCTGTCCATTAGAATTCACCTATAAGCCCTTTGAAATAATGTTGCTTTTTTTTTTCAAAATTCAGAATTGTTTCCTACTTTTATGTTTATTATATTATCCAGTGTCCATATTAATTTCTTCTGTATGTTCTGGTTAAGTTTGGTGAAGGGCAATTATGCCTTTAATGAGGTAGATAGATGCTCTTATCTCTGTCAGGCCACTATTGCACATATTTTTATTTTATGGAAAAAATAAAACAATATTTCATAACAAAATAATAGGAGAATACCAATAGTTAATGCACTGAATATTGTTATCTTTAGGGTAGTTACTCAGAATACAAGACAAGGGCATAAAAAATTCTCCAATTGATATTAGCACAAACCTTTCTTTTCAATTAACTAAGATAAACTGTTAGTGTACCTGTCTCATATTTCAGTTATTTTCTTTTTCATTCCTTCCTTTCCCTTTCCCCTCATCCTAGTTCCTTTTACCTTTTGAACAATTTCTTTTCATTTTACAATATCTATTGCACATTTTGGATCTTATTCACTCTTTCAGTTTCTCACACCAAGGAGGCAATATGATATTTACACATGTGAGTCTGGTTTTTTCACTTATGAGTATGGTCTCAAGTTGCATCCATTTACCTATAAAAGTCTCAAGTTTATCTGTCTTTATGGCTTAATAGTACTCCATTGTATAGAAAGACCACATCTTTATCCATTCCTCAGTTGATGGGCATTTGGATTGTTTACAAGATTTAGCTATGACAAATTGCACTGCTATAAACATGGATGCACATATATCGCTGTGGTATGATGCTTTTAATTCTATCCAGAAAGAGAATAGCTGGGTGGAATGGGACCTCTAATGCTAGTTTTTTAAGGAATCTCCACACTGATTTGCACAGTGGTTGCCCCACCAGTCTACACTCCCACCAGCAGTGCAGGGTGTTTATCTGCTCTATTAACTCCCTAGCTTATAATATGCACCAAGTAAATAACAGTTTAATGAATATTAACCTTGTCCTCTTACCTGTCAGTGTCAATAAGAAGAAAAGTAAAACACAGAGGCTTTTTATCCTGTCTCTGCTCTGTCTGTTGTAAAATCCCTATCATTGTTAGTCCCCCAAGAAAGCTGTGTAAGTTATTTAAAATGTTTACTAGGCCCCTTAGAATTATAGTCAAACAACCTGTGCTGTATTCTGTCCTCCAGCTCATGCAAACCATGAAGAGCTAAGTGTGTTCTTACAAGAGTATGGGAAGTACAGCATTGATACATTTGTGCCCCTAAATGTGCTTTCCTTAGGTGTGGGATACCACATAGTCATGGTGAAGGCACCTCACTGTGATGTTGAAGAAATCTCAAAGCTGATTCATCATTATGCACCAAATGCCACTTTGGAGAGCAATGTTGGAACTGAGTTATCATTTATTCTACCCAAAGAGTACACAGACAGGTATGGACTCAAAGAATCCTCAATGGTTGACTTTTAGGTAACCACAAATAGTTACTGCTTTTCCTAGTTTCTTCAGGAAAGCATGTAGAGTTTATGTAAGAAGACAAAACTCCTATTTTTTTTTTTTTGAGACGGGGTCTTGCTATGCAGTTCAGGCTGGCCTCGAGCTCACTTTGTAGCCCAGACTGGTCTCAAACTTGTAATGATGCTCCTGCTTCAGCCTCTCAAGTGCCGGGATTACAGGCATGTCCCACCATGCCCAGCTCAAAACTCCAATTGTTGCTGTCATTTGCACCAAAGAGACATGTCACCTAAATGGCTGTATGTTCTTGGGATTACTTAGTAAAAATGGGTGGTATGTTGTTGGTAGAATAAAAATTACTCCTGTGAGTGGAGTAAAAGGAAATATTAAAATAATGAGAAATAAATAGGGTGGCATAAAGGAGTAGTTCTGAATTGGTTGGTTTTTTTTGTGGGGGGGTACCAGGAATTGAACTCAGGACCTTGCACTTGCTAGGCAGGTGCTTATGCCACTGAGATATATCCCCAGCCCAAGGAATAGTTCTTGGAGTCAGGTTAACAAGAAGCCAGTGGAAATGGGCAGTTGAAATATGTAAGTTAGCCAAGTTATTCATTAAAGAGTCATAATGAATAATAATTTTATCTGGCATAAACATCCAAAAAGGAGAAATGGAAACTAAAACTATTCATCCATGGCTTTTCAGGATCTAATTTTTTATCTTCTTGTCCTGGGCAATAAAATATTTGCTTTGGTATTCCCTAGATTGAAGCTGGTTATAACATTTATAAATAATATGAAAGACTATAATTTCTCCTTTTCCAGGAGACCATATCACAAAGAAGAAAGAACAAAGAGGAGCTGTCTGATTTGGATCTTATTTACTCAGTAAATTAAAGAGTTCTTTAGAGGCAGGAGTATGGGGCAGGCAGTAGAGTAGAACCAGAACTCTAGCCCAATGATGGCAAACCTTGTAGAGCTTTCAGTAGCATACAGGCTGCTGTGACACACATACAGTAGGTTTACCACCACTGCACTGGAGTAAAAGAATGACACATAATGGAGGATTTGAAATAAAATTCCAGATACATATGCCTAGAGTTACATGGTAGTTGACTTGTTCAGCAAAGGTGGTAATGATGATTCAGCTGGAGCTACTGAATCTTTCTTCATAAGACACACTGGTAAAGCACTTGCTAAAACTTAGCACGTTACCTGCCTTTCCAGATTCAAATATCCTCAGAAGAGATAGTAAACATCATATTAAGAATATATCTAAAATAGGCTATGGGGGACAGTAGGGCAGGCAGCTATGATCCAGCTGCCATTACACTCTGCACCTGAGCCCTCCATGCACCCTGAGCTGTCTGGACACACTGGTCCAGATGGCCCACAAACCACTAACACCTTGGTTTGCATCTGGGCTTTGCACACACCTGAGCTGCCTGGGGACACTGGATCAGGCAGTCTGCAATCCACTAGCATTGCAGATATCATCTGAGACCTGGGAGAACCAGGTACACACCCCCAACTGCCTGGTGACCCCAGACTGAACAGCTGATCTTAGGGGCCACTAAGGGGCAAGTTGGACCACCAGGAAAACTAGGGACACTAGCAACTTATGATGAGCTGCCAGGGAAGAGTGAAACTGGGTGCTCTGCATCTGGTATCAAAAATGACAAGCTGAAGGACCAAAATGCAATCTCAGAACTCCACCCCACTCAGAACAAGTCATTGACATAGGAGAACTTCGTAATGACACACCTGAAATCTCTGAAATGATTGCAACAGAAGAAAAGAAACAACTCCAGCAGGCCATAGAAGAAATCAGATCAGAAATAATCTCTCAGGTAAAAAATGAAATGACAACAATAATGAAAGAATTGCTCAGCATGTCTAAAGAGGACATGTATTAAAAAATAAATGAGCATAGGAAACTGATAGAAATGTTAAATGAACAATATAGGAAAGAACTAAAATGCATGAAACAGATTCAAAGAGATATCCAGGAAATCAAAACTTCCACTGAAAAGTGGCAAAACCACTTGAATGAAGTTGAACATAGAATTTCAGACCTTGAAGACAGCATGGCAGCTAAAATCATGAAAGAAAGGATCTCTTAAAATTAACAAGGAGCCAGGAAAAATCAATTCAACAGCTACAAGATGAGGCAAAGAGAAATAATGTAAGATTAATAGGTGTCAGTGAAACAGCAGGAGTCAACATAAATGACATGAAAAGAATATTTGCAGAAGTAATAGCAGAAAATATCCCAAACATGGAAGAAGAATCTGACATGTAGGTAAGTGAGGCATACAGAACTCCAACCAATCATAACCAAAATAAAACTACACCCAGACATATAATAATCAAGATCCCAGATATCCAACAAAAGAACAGAGTATTAATAGCTGTTAGAGAAAAGACAGATCACCTATAAAGGAAAGCCCATCAGAATCACATCAGATTTCTCAACACAAACCATCCAGTCTAGAAGAGCTTGGAGCGAGGTATTACAGATCCTGAGACAAAACAGCTTCCAACCCAGATTGATGTATCCTATAACACTGTCCTTCAAATTCAATGGAGAAATAAAATATTTCCACGACAAAGAACAACTGAAGAACTTTATGAATGCCAAATGAACCTTACACAGCGTACTAAAACATATTCTAGAGAGAGAGAAAATGACCACAATTTCAAGAACAACAATAGAAAAGAACTCTTAAGGAGAGCAAGCAGTTAAACAGAGAGAAAAAGTAGGAAACCACCAACAAGTAAATAACATAACAAAGATAAGCCAACACACATTAGTTATAACCATTAATGTAAATGGCCTCAATTCACCAGTCTGAAGAAACAAACCAGCAGAGTGGATCAAGAAACAAAATCCAACAATATGCTGTATACCAGGAAACACATTTTACTCAAAATGAAATTGATAGACTGAAAGCCAAAGGATGGAAAATAATTCTCCATGCAACAGGAACCCAGAAAAAAGCAGGGGTAGCTATTCCATTTACAGACAATGTAAACTTCAAACTGAGAACAATTGAAAGAGATAAAGAAGGTCACGACATACTTGTTAGGGGAAAACTTGAAGAAGAATAACAATGATAAACATAGATAACAATAATAAACATATATGCACCAAAATATGGGAGCACTCAACTATATAAGACAAGTCTTAATAGACATGAATAACCAAATAACTAACAACACTATTGTAAAAAGGGTACTAAACACCCCATTGACACAGAGAGATAGGTCAACTAGACAAAAAATCGGCAAAGAAATAACAGATCTAAACTAAACGTGGGAACAAATGGACTTAGTAGACGTTTAGAGTGTTCCACCCCACACGTCAGAATACACATTCTTCCCAGCTGCACATAGGACATTCTCTAAAATAGAACACATACTAGCCCATAGAGTATGCATAACTAAATGCAAAAGAACTGAAATCATCCCATTCATACTCTCTGATCATAGTGCAATGAAATTGGAAATTAATGACAGAAGGAACCACAAAATCTCCATAAACACATGAAAATTAAATAACAACCTCCTGAACAACCAATGGGTCACAGAAGAAATTAAAAAATATCTACAAGCAAATGAAAATGTAAGTACAACTTACCAGAATCTGTGGGATGCGATGAAAGCAGTCCTCAGAGGGAAATTTATAGCAGTGAACTAACACATGAGGAAGACAGAATGAGAACAAATAAATAGCCTAATGCTGCACCTTAAACTTGTAGAAAAAGAATAAGTCAAGTCCAAAGCCCAAAGAAGGGAGGAGATTATAAAGATCAGGGTGGAAATTAATGCAACTGAGATGAAGAAAACACTACAAAAAATAAATGAATCAAAAAGTTGGTTCAGGGGCTGGGGATTTAGCTCAGTGGCAAAAGCGCCTGCCTGGCAAGCGCAAGGTCATGAGTTCGGTTCCTGGTACCAGAGAAAAACCAAAAAAAAAAAAAATACAAAAAGTTGGTTCTTTGAAAGAATAAACAAAATTGATAAACACCTAGCTAACCTTATCAAAAAAAGAAAGGAAAAAAATTCATGCAATAAGGAATGAAAAGGATAAAATCACTACAGGTCCTATAGAAATTCCTGAGATCTTCAATGTCTACTTGGAAAATTTTTACTCCCTTAGTACAGAAAACTCAGAAGAAATGGACAGATTTCTAGATATGTATGAATTACCAGAGTTGAATCAAGAGGATGTAAAAATCCTAAACAACCCAACATCAATTAATAAGATTGAAAACATGATTTAAAACTTAACAACAAAGAAAAACCCAGGTCCTGATGGATTCACAGAAGAATTCTACAAAAAATTCAGAGAGGATTTAATGCCAATACTCCTCAACTTCAGTGAAATTGAAAAGGAAGCAATTATCCCTAACTCATTTCTGGAGGCAAGTATTATACTGATACCAAAAGCAGAGAAAGACCCAACCAAGAAAGAGAACTACAGACCAATCTCCCTAATAAACATGGAGGCAAAGATACTCAATAAAATACTAGCAAATAGAATGCAGCAAATCATTAAGAAAATCATACACCATAACAAAGTGGGATTCATCCCAGGAATGCAGAGATGGTTCAATATAAGCAAATCAATAAATGTAATACACTATTATCAGTAGAACCAAAGACAAAAACCACATGATCATCTCAACAGACACAGAAAGAGCATCTGACAAAGTCTAACACCCATTCATGATTTAAAAAAAAAAAACCCTACAGAAAATTGGAACAGATGATTTCTATCTCAGTCTGATAAAAGCCATCTATGACAAACCAACAGCCAACATCATATTAAATGGTCAAAAACTGAAAGTTTTCACTCTAAAATCAAGAACAAGACAAGGATGTCCTTTATCACCACTCCTACTCAATATAGTTCTGGGTTCCTTAGCCACAGCAATTAGACAAGAAAAAAAATAAAAGGAATAAAGATAGGAAAGGAAGAAGTAAAATTATCATTATTCCCAGATGGCACTGTTCTCTATAGAAGACCCCAAACACTCCACCAGAAGACTGCTAGAATTAATGAACAAATTCAGTAGTGTAGCTGGATACAAAATCAATACTCAGAAATCAATAGCATTCCTATATACAAACAACAACACACTGAGAGAGAAATTAAGGAAATTATACCTTTCACAATAGCATCAAAAAAACTGAAATACTTAAGAATCTAACAAGAGAAGTGAAAGATCTATATACAATGAACACTATAGTACTCTGAAAAAAAGATTGAAGAAGATTTCAGCAAACGGAAAGATATCGCTTGCTCATGGATGGGAAGAACCAACATAGTGAAAATGACCATACTCCCAAAATTTTTGTGCACATTCAATGCAATCCCAATTAAAATGCCATTAGTATACCTCACAGAGCTAGCAAAAACATTCCTAAAATTCATCTGGAACCAGAAGAGACCCAGAATAGTAAAAGCAATCCTGAGTAACAAACGCAAGGCAAGTCTAATAAAAATCTGACCAAATTATTGTAGAAAACAGTAGAATGCCCAGATGTTTTATAAAGTAGTTTTATGATTTCACATTTCTATTAGCCATGAGATTCAGTTGCTGCATTCACATAACATAAGATTCATTCTAGTAGGTATGTAATGGTATTATATTGCCTCTTATACTGTGCAATTTTTCTCATAGTTCTGGAAGAGTTCTTGACATAGGCTTCTCTTTTTTGTTATATATTAGGTAAGGCTACTAGAAGCAAAAATTACTGTACCAAAACATTAGCATGTCAGTAGTAATTGTGGGAGGTAGTATTATGGTTTTTACTTTCTTTATATATTTGTTTTCTAAATTTTGTGCCAATTCCATATTAATGTGATGACTAAAAGAATAGAAAAAGAAGAAAATATAGATGAATCCTTGTTAAAAATGTCTGCACTGGGAATGAAGAGGTGGGGCATAAAAGGAAATAGACTTTAAAAAATATGAAAGGCTGTTTCTAAAAAGGTAGATATTTCTATACTGTATAATCTAAGGTATAAAATTATAACTAATATACAAAAGTGAACAGAATTTAACCTCTAATAGAGGACATGTTAACTGCTTTTCCAAAAGAGAGAATTTTGAGTTCCCTCAACATTAAAAGTATGAAAAGATAAATCCATTTGTCACTCAGTGGGAATGTGGTAGAGATGGTTTTGAGGTTCCTGGAAAATATAATCTTTTGAAAAGAATGTACTGTAAGAAATTCCCAGGAAAACCATTGATTAAAGGTCTTGATGTTTCTGCATTGCATCTGGCCTCCAGTTTCCAATAGTGTGTTTTCCATTTCTATAGTTTAATCATTTCAACTTTCATAGATTTTCCTAGATATTTAATCTTGTGCTTGTCTCTTAGGTTTTATTGCACTTCATTTTCTGATTTTGAGTGCCTTTATTTACTTTTGAATATGATTATCTTTCTTCTTTATTTACTGAATGATGAGAACCATATTGTAAGTATATATGATAAGTAAATTCATTTCAACTAGCTAGAGTTATTAACATATACAGAATCTTTTGATAGTTTTGTTAGAAAACCAAAGTTCTGTGTACTCAAGAACAAAGTAGAGCCAGACGTGTTGGTGCATGCCTGTAATCCCAGCATTTGGGAAGCTGAGGAGGAAGATCCCTGCAAGTTTGAGATCACCCTGGCTACAAACTGAGTTCAAGGCCAGCCTGAATGGCATAGTGAAACCCATAGTGAAAAAGAACGAAGTAGAGCAGGAAACAGTTTACTGTGGTGATTTGTTAGTTGATTTCTTTCCATTTGTCCCACCTTTCTGATTTACCAGAGGCAAGAAATTTTAGGAAGCATTGAAGTGAAGAATAATCCACATTTCCCCCACTGCTGAGGGGAAATCAGTTTAGAATAAAAAGACACCAATAAGAAAATAGTTTGGTGTCAGGATTTTCTTTTCTTGTCCAACATGTAGGTTTGAAGATCTGTTTACTACTCTGGAAAGGAGACAGGACGAGCTGGGCATTAATGATTTTGGTGCCTCTGTCACAACCATGGAGGAAGTCTTCCTTAAGTGAGTAACAACATACAGTATAGCAAAAAGAAAAACTGTGAAGGGGAAGGGTGATGTCTTAGTTCTCTTTGTAAACTCTTCAAACTTTGAGACTTCACACATTAGAAAATCAAGGGTGGCAAGGGCTGGGGTAGGGCAGTGTTTGGGAGCTATTATTCTATCACACTTACTTTGTTGCTCCCAAATAATCCGGCCGGGCAGTGAGCAAACCAAGGAGCCTTTTGAGTTAGGAGTTGTGAATCACATTCTCCAAACAAGATACAATGGGATAAGGATGAGACAGTTTTGTATTTTTTTTTAATTTAGGGTCAGTCACATGGAGTCACAAACAGATATCCAAGCTACCCAGTCTCTGTCACAAAGAAGCAAAGTCCTCACTATGAGGCAGAATAGCAATATGTCAAATAATGTTAAAAGAACACATTCTCTGAATGAAAATACTACTGTGTTTAATACTGGGGTAAGAACCTTTATCAGAAATTTGCTGTATATTTAGTTGAGATGCAAAAAGTACCGTTTGTTTTAATGCTTGAACAAAGAGTGTAGAATTCTCAGCCATTGGAGAACCCACTAGATGTAGAACAGTCCATACTATAACCTAATCAGTATTCAAATGCAGAAATGATAGGTTGTAGTAAAATATATCAGCTGGTTACTTTCACCACTGTTGTTCCTCAATACTTTTTTCTGATTTAATTTTTTTTCAAATTGGTAACCCAGAAATTTGTTGTGTCTTGGAAGCTGAAATAAGGATAGTAGTGAGTCTGGTGTTTAAATAATGACCCTTGTATAAATACTTTTATGTATTTTAAGGTTTGTAAGGGAAATAGTTACTTCTTTAGAGATCATTCCCTAAGCAGTATGATCCTCAGCTTGGGAGGTTTTTTTGAGTTTCCAGACATTTCTTTGATTGTCCTTATACATATTTGTCCCATCTATAAAGCACAGTGGTGTTCATGGGTATCAAACATCTGAGAAGAAGAATCCTGTTAAAGTTTTAAGTGTTATATCAAGACTTTTAGCCTTAAGCATTTTGTTGATATCTTATAGCAGAAGTCAGTAAACTCAGGATAAAGAGGTAACAGATGCTGAAGGCTCTGCTACGTGGTTTGTTCCACAATTGCTGAACACTCTCATCGCACCGCGAAAGCAACCATGACCTGACAGGAATATACATGCACAGCTGTGTTCCAGTGAAGTTCTGTTTACCAAAACAATCCATAGTTTGCTGTTCCTGCCTTATAGAAATAAGACTGGTGATATTATTGGATACTATCATATTACTTTTGGGCTCCACTGAAGTATTTATTTATAAGCTTTGTGTTTATACCTTGGTTTTATGCCATAAAACTTTTTTAAAGAGAGAAAAATAAAAATAACAAATAGTTTCAAAACAGGTTAGCAGGAAAGTTACAATAATTCATGCATTGTGTATTGTTGTCTTCATAGCAGTTATTCAGAGTACAAGATATAGGGATAATATCTTGTCCAAACAATATTAGCACAAACATTTCTTTTCAATGAACTAAGGGAAACTAGCTGTATAACTATCTTAACTATCTTGTGCATAAGTATTATTTTTTCTTTTTCCCTTTCTTCCTTACCCATTCCCCCATCACATTTTCTCTTTTCTTTTTAACAGTTTCTACTCAATTCACAATATCTATTACAAAGTTGGATCTTATTTACTCATTCAGTTTCTTACACTAGTGAGACAATACGATGTTTTCACATATGGATCTGATTTATTTCACTTGTGAGTATGGTCTCTAGTTGCATCCATTTACCTATAAGAGTCTCCCATTTATCATTCTTTGTCGTTGAGTTGTACTCCATTATATTTTTTTAAAAACCCACACATCTTTTTTATCCATTCTTTAGTTGATGGGCACTTGGATTGTTTCCAGGGTTTAGCTATTACAAATTGTGCTGCTGTGAACATGGGTGCACATGTATCTCTGTGGTATGATGTTTTTAATTCTTCCAGGAAGATACCCAGAAGAGGAATAGTTGAGTCTAATGGGACCTCTAATCCTAGTTTTTTAAGGAACCTCCCCACTGATTTCCACAGTGGTTGTACCAGTCTACATTTCCACCAACAGTGGAGAAGGGTTCCTTTTTCCCCACAAGCCCACCAGAATTTGTTATTGGTTGATTTCTTAAGGATAGCCATTCTTTCTGGAGTGAGATGGAATCTGTGTTGTTTTAATTTGCATCTCTTGAATGACCAATAATGTTGAACATTTTTTTCATGAGGTTGTTTGCCATTTGTATTGCTTCATCTGAGAAATGTGTATTCATCCAGATGGCTATTTTTGGATTGGTTCTTTGAATTGGGGAGTTCTGATTTTTTTCAATTCTTTATATATTTTAGATATAAGTCCTTTGCCTGAGGAACTACTGGCTATAATTTTTTCTCACTCTGTGGGTTGTCTTTTCACGCTATTGGTGATTTGTTGTGCAAAAGCTTTTTAATAGGGTGAGCTCCCATTTGTTGATTCTTTGTAGTATTTCCCTTGCAATCTGGGTTTTGTTCATGAAGTCTCTGCCTACACCTGTATCTTTGAGATTTCTACCTATTTTTGCTTCCAGTAAATTTAGTGTTTCTATTTTAATATTTAGATTTTTGATCCATTTTGACTTTAATTTAGTGCATGGTGATAGACATGGGTCTAGTTTTAGTCATCAGCATGTGGAAAGCCAGTTTTTCCAGCCCTATTTATTAAAGAGGCTATCTTTCTTCCAGTAAACGTGTTTGGTTCCTTTGTCAAATATAAGGAGGCTAAGTATGTCTGGGGTTGCATCTGAATCTTCTGTTCTGTTCCACTGACCTGCAGGCCTATTTTTTTGCCAGTACTATGCTGATTTTATTACAGTACCATTGAAGTATAATTTCAGGTCTTGGATTGTGATTCCCCCTGATTTGTCATTGTTGCCAAGAATTGCTTTTGCTAATTTAGGTTTATTCTGGTTCCAAATGCATATTAGAGATAATTTTCTAGATCTGTGAGGTATGCTAATGGTATTTTAGTTGGGATTGCATTAAATCTGTATAGTAATTTGTGGAGTATGTCCATTTTCCCTATGTTGGTTTTTCCTATCAGAGAGCAAGGGACATCTTTCCATTTCTTGATATCCGCTTTGATCTCTTTTTAGGATACTGTAATTTTCACTGTACAGATCTTTTATATCCTTTGTTAGATTGGTTCCTAAGTATTTCATTTTTTTTGTTTGTTTGTTTTTTTGTTTTTCTTCCAGTACCAGGAATTGAACTCATGACCTTGCACTTGCCAGGCAGTTGCTTTGCTGCTGAGCTAAATCTCCAGCCCTAAATGGTTTGTTGTTTTTTTTTTTTTTTTTTTGTATTTCATTTTTAGATACTATTGTGAAGGGTGTGCTTTCTATAATTTCTCTCTCTGTGACTTTATTTCCTGTGTACAGGAATGCTATTGATTTTTGAGTGTTGACTTTGCATCCTGCTACACTACTGAATTTGGTTATTAAATCTACAAGATTTTGGTGGAGTTTTTGGGGTCTTCTATGTACAGTATCATGTCATCAGGCAATAATGATAATTTAACTTCTTCCTTTCCTATCTTTATTCCTTTTATTTTTTTTCTTGTCTAATTGCTGTGGCTAAAGAATCCAGAACTATATTGAGTAGGAGTGGTGATAAAGGACATCCTTGTCTTGTTCTTGATTTTAGAGTGAAAACTTTCAGTTTTTGACCATTTAATATGATGTTGGCTGTTGGTTTGTCATAGATGGCTTTTATCAGATTGAGATGGAGATCATCTGTTCCAATTTTCTGTAGGGTTTTTTTTTTTAAATCATGAATGGGTCTTAGACTTTGTCAGATGCTCTTTCTGTGTCTGTTGAGATGATCATGTGATTTTTGTCCTTGGCTCTGTTAATATGCTGTATTACATTTACTGATTTGCATATGTTGAACCATCCTTGCATCCCTGGGATAAATCCCACTTGGTCATGGTGTATAATCTTGATGATTTGCTGCTTTCCGTTTGCCACTATCTTATTAAGGATTTTTGCATTTAGTTAATTAGGGAGATAGTCTTGCAGTTTTATTTTTTGGTTGCATTCTCTGGTTTTTAAATCAGGGTAATGGTACATACCTGTAATCCCAGCATTCAGGAAGCTGAGGCAGGAGGATTGTTGTGAGTTTGAGACCAGCCTGGACTACAAAGTGAGCTTAAGACCAACCTGAACTGTATAGTGAGATCCTGTCTCAAAAAAAGACAAAGAAAGAAAGAAAAAAGAAAGAGAAAGAAATGAGGTAAGACTTGCTTCCAGGAATAATTTTGGAAATACTGTTTTGCTTTCAATTTCTTTAAAGAGTTTAAACATTAGTGGCATTAGCTCCTTTCTAAATTTCTTGTAGAATACAACAGTGAATCTGTCAGGGCCTGGGCTTTCCTTTGTGGTAAATTTTTAATTATACTTTCAATTTCATTGGCTGATACTGGGTTATTTAAATCTTTATATCTTCTTGATTTAGTTTTGGCAATTTGATTGTGTCTAGGAATCCATTTCTTCTGTGTTTTTCAGCTTAGTAGAAGATATCTTCTCATAGTAGGTATTGATAATCTCCCGGATTTCTGTGGGATCTGTTGTGATTTCCCCCTTTTCGTTCCTAATTACTTGAATTTGTGTTTCTTTCCTCTTTTTGATGAAGTTGGCTAATGAACCATTAGCCAACCTCTATTTTCCTCATTCTTTTTTCCTCATTCTTAAGCCAACCTCTATTTATTAAAAATAAATAAATTTTATTTATTCTTTCAAAGAATCAACTTTTCAATTCATTAATTCTTTGTATTATTTTGTTAGTCTCAATTGCATTAATTTCTAGCTGGGTGTGGTGGCACACGCCTGTAATCCCAGCACTCGGGAGGCTGAGACAGGAGGATCGTTGTGAGTTTGAGGCCAGCCTGGGCCACAAAGTGAGCTCAAAGTCAGCCTGAACTGTATAGCAAGACCCTGTCTCAAAAAGATTTAAAAAAAATTAAAAATCAATTGCATTAATTTCTGCTCTTTACAGTTTGCTCTTGTACGAGCTCTGGGTTTGATTTGTTCTTTTATAGAATTTTGAGGTTCAATATTAGGTTGTTTATTTAAGCTCATCCTGTTTTCCTGATGTGTCAGTTCATCACTATAAATTTCCCTTGTAGGACTGCTTTCGTTGCATTCCATAAGTTTTGGTATGTTGTATCAGCATTATCATTTAATTGTATATAGTATTTCATCTTGTCTTTAATTTCCTCTGTGACCCATTGGTTGTTCAGAATGGTATTGTTTAATTTCCATGTGTTTATGTAGTTTTGGTGATTTCCTTTGTCAGTTTCATTGCACTATGATCAGATAGTATGCATGGGATGATTTCAATTCCTCTACGTTTACTTAAACATGTTTTGTCAGCTAATATATGATCTATTTTGGAAAATGCCCCATGTGCAGCTGAAGAGAATGTGTATTCTAATGTTTTGGGGTGGAACACTCTGCAGACTCTACAAAGTCCATTTGTTCACAGGCTTGTGTTTTTTTTTTTAAGAGAGAGGAAAAAATAAAAATAATACAGAATTTCAAAACAAGATGTTAGGAAATTAACAATGGTTATTATATTGCGTATTGTTATCTGCAAAGTACTTGCTCAGATTACAAGATATAGATATAGGTGTGCAAAATCGATCAAACAATGTAAGCACTAATTGTTACTTTCAATGAGCTAATAGAAATTTGTAGTATAATTATCTTAGCTATCTTTTGTACATTTTTTCCTTTCCTTCATTTCTCCTTTCCCCCATCCCAGTTGTTCTTTCCTTTTGAGCAGTTTGTTTCCCTTTCACAATATCTATTGTACCTTTTGGATCTTATTTACTCTTTCAGGTTCTCACATTAGGGAGACAGTATGATGTTTACACATGTGAGTTTGGTTTATTTCCCTTATGAGTGAGGTCTTTCGTTGCATCCATTTACCTATAAAAGCCTCAGGTTTATCTTTCTTTATTGCTGAGTAGTACCCCATTGTATAAAATACCACATCTTTTTTTATCCATTCCTCAGTTGATGGGCATTTAAGTTGTTTCCAAGATTTAGCTGTTACAAATTGTGCTGCTCTAAACGTGTGCACACATATCACTGTGGAATGATGTTTTCAATTCTTCTGGAAAAATACCCAGAAGGTGTACAGTGTATTACATGCATACTAAGATTACTATTCCCAGGAAGCACTCACTGTAGGAAACCTATACCACCTACAGGAAACATTGGGACTGTTCTATTTAGAACATATAAAGAATTTTTTTAAAAATCAGGCCTCCAAAATTCAAAGACCCGATCAAAAAATGGGCAGCTGAGATGAATACACACTTCTCAGATGAAGAAGTACAAATAGCAAATAAATATATGAAAAAAGGTTCAACATCATTGATCATTCAAGAGATGCAAATTAAAACAACACTTGAGATTCCATCTCACCCCAAAAAGGATGGTCATTATAAAAAAATCAACCAATAACAAATGTTGAAGGAGCTGTGGGAAAAAAAAAACCCTTCTGCACTGTTGGTAGTGTAGACTGGTACAACCACTGTGGAAATCAGTGTGGAGATTTCCTAAAAACTAGGATTAGCGGTAATCTTTGTATGCGTGTAATACACTGTACACCAGCTCTGTACACAATCCCTGACTTGAAATTATACTATAAAGCTACTGTGATAAAATTAGCATGGTACTGGTTTAAAAAAAACCTGAGGCTCAATGGAACTGATTAGAAGATACAGACACAACTACAAACACACTCAACAACCTTATCTTTGACAAAGAGGCCTAAAATGTTCACTGGAAGAAAGATAGCCTCTTTAATAAATGGTGGTGGAAAACCTGGCTTTCCGCATACTGAAGACTAAAATTAGACCCATGTCTGTCACTGTGCACTGAACTAAAGTCAAAATGGATTAAAGATCTAAGTATTAAAACAGAAACACTAAATCTACTGCAAGAGAAAGTAGGTAGACATCTTGAAGACATAGGGGTAGGCAGAGAGCTCGTGAACAAAAGTCACACTGCATGGGAAATGCTTCAAAGAATCAACAACTGGGATCTCATCTTATTAAAAAGTTTTTTCACAAGGTTGGTTTAATTCTAATATTTCTTTGTGTTTTTTCTTGTCTAGATGATCTCTCTATTTTTGAGAGTGGGGTATTAAGATCCCTCACTAAAACTGTGTTGGGGCTTATTTGGTTTTTCTTTTTTTTTTTTTTTTTTTTTTTTTTTTTGGTTTTTCTCCGGTACCGGGAACCGAACTCACGACCTTGTGCTTGCCAGGCAGGCGCTTTGCCGCTGAGCTAAATCCCCAGCCCCCCTTATTTGGTTTTTCATGTCTATTAATATTTGTTTTATGTAGTTGGGTGCACTCTTGTTTGGTGCATAAATATCTATGATTATTATCTCTTGGAGTCTTTCCTTAACAAGTATGTAGTGACCTTCTTTATCTCTTTTGTCTTAAAGTTTGCATTATCTGCAAATAGACTACCTACCCCTGCATTTTTCTGGGTTTCTGTGTCATGGAGAATTCTCTTCCATCCTTTGATTTTCAGTCTATGAATTTCTTTTTGGGCTAAATGTGTTTCTTAAATGCAGCATATTGTTGGATCTTGTTTCTTGATCCATTCTGCCAGTCTTGACTGGTGAGTTGAGACTGTTTACATTGACAGTTATAACTGATATATATTGTCTTTTCTTTTTCATCTTGTTTTCCTGTTGTTTGTTCCCTGTCTTTCACCTCTGTTTAATTGCTTAAACACCCACCTGGTGGCTTGTTTCTGTTGGTGTTCTTGTATTTGTGGTCTTCATTATTTCTTTCTAATACATTCTTCACAGCATTCTGTAGAGCTGGTTTGGTGGTCATAAATTTCCTCAGTTGTTATTTATCATGGAAGTATCATATTTCTCCTTTGATTTTGAAAGATAGTTTTGTAGGTTACGTCAATCTGGGTTGAAGACTGTTTTCCTTTAGGGCTTGAAATACCTCACTCCAAGTTCTCCTTATTTGAGGGTTTGTATTTAGAGGTCTGCTGTAATTCTGATGGGTTTTCCTTTATAGGTGATTTGTTTCTTTTGTCTAGCTGCTTTTAATATTTTACTCTTCTGTTGAATTTCTGGAATTTTGATTATATTACATGCCTTGGTGTAGATTTATTTTGGTCATGGTTATTTGGAGTTGTATATGCTTCATTTATTTGTATCTCAAATTCTTTTCCATGTTTGAAAAGTTTTCTGCCATTATTATTTTTTTCTTTTTTTTGGTACTGGAAATTGAACTCAGGACCTTGCACTTGCCAGGCAGGTGCTTGTGCTGCTGAGCTAGATCCCCAGCCCTACTGCCATAATTTCTGTGAAGATATTTTTAATGACTTTTTCACTGTCTCCAGTTTTTTCACTGATTCGGGTCAATCTTATCTTGTTCTTTTTTCCTTCATCCTGTAGCTGTTGGATTGGTTTTTCATGGGCTCTTGCAATTTTTAAGACATTTTTCTTTTCCTGGTTACTAGTTGTGTTCTGTCTTCTAGATCTGATATTCTACCTTCACCTTCATTCAATCTGCTGCATATACTTTCAGTGGAGCTTTTAAACCTCTGCATTTCTGTTTAGATCTGTTTCATTGATTCCAGTTCTTGTTCATGTTTGGCATTCATGGTTTCCATGATTTTTTTGAGTACCTCTATTTGTTTATCTATGTCTGCTTTAATGTCTTTTATTTTGATAGTCTCTTTTTGCACGTTAGAGATTATTTTTTCTATAGCCTCTTCCATTTATTTTTTCAATTCTGCTGCTATCATTTCAGAGAGTTCCATTTGTTGGCTTCCAATTTCCTGTATCTCTTTGTGCTCTGGACTTGTCCTGGGTGGGCTGGGCATTTGGGATTGCATTTTGCTTTTTCATTTTGTTGTTTTCTATTTTCTATTTTATTTTGTTTTCTGTGTTGATGCTTGTAGATTTCTTATGTTAGACAGCCTTACCACTGGTATCAAGGCTTTCTTATGAGGTGTCTGTTCCTCCAGATGTCTTCTAGATATAGGTAGTTCTTAGTCTTTATGTCTATCCCAAGAACCTACCTTCTCAATATATTAAGTCTGAGGAGTTGCTATCAATTTGATTTAGGGCCCATTCCTTCGGTACTGGACTATAGTGATAGTTATGACCCCTGACAATTGCAGTGTTGTCATACAGGGGGGAAAAGCTTTTTACAGCATGTATGACTTCCTGGTTAAAGTAATTTAGTTGGCAGTGACAACAGACTCAAGTACAGCCTGGCTACTAACCGTGTAACTATTAGCCTGGTATCTATAACTGTAGGAAGAAGGTATACAGAAATATAATACAATCCAACTGATACCAGGAACTTTTATGCAAAGATTTGCCATTTAGTGGAGTGAATTTACCCTGTTGTGGTGGGGTTCGGGAGGATAGCGGGTAGGATGGAGAGATGAATGAGATCCAATATAGTAGGAGCAAGGTTGGAGGGCACATGATGATCATCCAGACTGGGGTAATTGTAGGACACAGGAGGGAAGGATTGGAAAAGAAGGCCTAGGAGTTCTGAAGTGAACCAGAAAGAGAAGAGACAATGTTTTCTCTCCTGAAAGTATCATAAAATCAAGCGAGATAGTTGAGGAAAGAGGAAGAGGATGAGTAGAATAAAACAAAAAGAAAGGTTAGGGATCACCTGCTGGCTCACACTGCTAAGTTGCATGGCATATCCACACTTTTAGTTCCGCCTGTCCATCATGTGTGCCTTAGCCAGGGTCCTACTGTGTCCCTGGTGTTCCCACAGGTCTCTGGGTCCTGAGCCTTGCCAGTGGAGGGAGGGAAGAGTCGGCTTCAGACTTCTCTCACCAGCCTAGCAGTCCTGGGGCAAGGAAAGGAGGAGCCAAACTCACACCCCTCTTCTGGCGGAGCCTCCCTGGGGCAATAGAGGAACGGAGCAGCTTGCACTCACTTTCTCGAGCCACGCTGTTCTGGGACAATGCCATACAACTTTTGAGTATTTCTACCATAAAATTTCAAAGCATTTATCTTAGTGAATTTCAACATGATTCTAAATCTATGCCTAGTGTAATACTTCCCTCTTCTTTCTTTAGAGTTCCCGCTACTGCCAACAGTTCCACGCAATGCTCCTAAAGAAGCTATTGTTCAGCTGGCGCAACTGGAAGCTGATTTTCTTACAGATCTTCGGACTTTTAATTCCCACTATCCTTCTCTTCCAAGATAGTGACTTTAAAATAGCTGATGAAGAGACATCCAGGCAAATGAATCTGGATGAATATGGCCAAACTATTGTGCCCTATTCTATTTCTGGGAATTCTACTTTAACTATAAGTCTCTTAAAACACCTTGAGAGTATGCTAGCACCTAAAAACCACATACTTAGGGAAGTGCAAGGTAAGGGGAAAAAGATGACTGCTCTTAGATTCATGACTATGTCACTTCCAAGGAAATATCTTAACTACAATATTAATTACTGCCCCATTTTATTCCTGCTAGTCATTAATATCATGGAGGAAAACTTAAGAAATGTCCTTTTTTACAGCTACTGGTATCGACGAGCTGTTAGTGGTTGCTCAGTGGCCATGGGCTGTCCATAAGTCCTTTGTCACTGCCTTTTAGTAACAAGTCAAAATATGCCAAAGCACACATTACTATGAAATTAATCTCTCCACTTAATTAAAACTTCTTTGATTTCTTTTATCAGTGTTGTGTAATTTTCAGCAGAGAAATTCCATATATATTTTGTTAAATTAACAGCTAAAGTCCGAGGGGGTGGGGCTCAGTGGTAGAGCACTTGCCTAGCATGCATACCCTGGGTTTGAGTGGCAGTATCAAACACACAAAAATTGAATTAAAATTTAAATTTTTTAAACCTAAATATTTTTTGAATGAATATAAATGTTACCATATTTTTAAACTTAATGTCCCAGCTAGGCATAGTGTTACATACCTGTGGTCTCAGCACTGAGGAGGCAGAAGCAGGAGGATTGTATATTTGAGGCCAATCTGGCACATACAGAGATTTTGCAATAAACCTGAGCTACATTGCAAGGCAATTGGGTCCATTTGTTTTAGTATATTACAATACATTTTATTATAACACATGCTAATGGTATAAGGTACTAGGATTCATTATAATATTATAATAAAATCGTTTTACCTTTGTGTTTCTCTTGTATCCTACAAACCTGATGAACTCATTTATTGTAGAAGCTTTTATTTTGCTTCCTGGACTTTTCTACATTACAGAATCATGTCATTTGCTAATAAGAGTAGTTCAGTTTTTTATTTATAAACTATACCTTTTTTCTATTTATGCTTTATCTCACTAGATAGAATTTCCATCATGTTTAATCAGTGGTGAGAGAGGACATTTTCCTTGTTCCTAATCTTAAGGAGAAAATAATTAAGGTTTTATTACATATTTAAAAGTTAGAAAAGTTCTGCTTTAATCTAAATATTAAAACAGAAACACTAAATCTACAAGAAGATAAAGTAGGTAAATATCTTGAAGATATAGGGGTAGAGAGTTCATGAACAGAAATCAGACTGCATGGGAAATTCATCAACGATTCAACAACTGGGATCTCATCTTATTGAAAAGTTTCTGCATATCAAAAGAAATCACCAACAGAGAAAAAGAAAACCCATGCATTGGGAAAAAAATTTTAGCCAACTGCCCCTCAGACAAAGGACTTCTACCTAGAACATATAAAGAATTTTAAAAATCAGACCCTCAAAATTTAAAGACCCAATCCAAAAATGGGCATCTGAGATGAATACACACTTCTCAGATGAAGCAATACAGCAAATAAATATATGAGAAAATGTTCAATATCATTGCTCATTTGAGAAATGCAAATTAAAACAACACTTGAGATTCCATCTCACCCCAGAAAGAATGGCTATCATTAAGAAATAACCAATAACAAATGCTGGAGAGGCTATGGGGAGAAAGGAACCCTTCTCCACTGCTGGTTTTTGCTTTGTTTTGTTTTTGTCTATGTTGTTGGTATTTTGCTATTGTTCTTTTTTTATTATTCTCTTAAAAATAAAAAAAGGTTCCGCTTTATTCCTATTTTTCTTAGAGCTTTTTATTTTAATCATGGATAGATGTTTTGTTTTCTCAAGTTTTTCTACACAGATTTATATAACTGATTTTTCTTTGTTAGTTTATCAGTATGGTGAATGACATTTATTTCAAACAATGAATCAGTCAGCTTTGTATTCCTGGAGTAGATACCACTTGTCATGGTGCATAAATTTTTACACGTTGCTGAATTTTACTTGCCAACATTATGTTAAGGAGTTTCACATCTATATTTATAAAAGATATTGGTCTGTAGATTTCTTCTGTTTATACTTTATTTGTGTGGTCTTGTTATAACGGTAACACTAGCTTTGAAAAATGAATTGTGAAATGTTCCCTCTTCTATTTCCTGGAATAATTAGTGCATAATAATACTTCCTGGAATAATAATTGTGCATAATTAGTGTTTATTATTGTTTAGACATTTGATAGAATTCTGTAGTAAAAGTATCTGAGTCTAGAAGTTTCTTTTTTGGAAATTTTTTAAAATTATATTTCTCTAGTCAAATGTTTGAGAAATAGAGGTAGAACTAGAGAATATTAACAGTTTATTTAGGGGAAGTGAATCACACAATCATGTAGACCGAGAAGTCGCACAGTGTGCTACCTGAAAGCTGGAAACGAAGGAAAACAAATAATTCAGTATGAGTCTAAAGGCCTGAGAATCAGGAGAGCCACTGGTATAGGTTCTACAGACAAAAGTCTGAGATCCTGGAGTGTTCATGACCAGAGACAGGAGAAAGTAGATGAACTAACTCAAGAGAGAGAGAGAGAAAATTCACCCTTTCTCCACACTTTTGTTCTGTTGGGGCTGTAAGTGGATTGGATCATACCTATCCATACTGGGGAGGATAAACTTTCACTCAATCTTACAGAGTCGAATGCTGGTCTATTCTGGAAGCGCCCTCACAAGTACAGTCAGATTACATTTTATCAGTTCAGGGCGATCCTTAATCTAGTCAAGCTGACACTCAAAATTTACCATCACATATGTGTAGGGTCATGCATAGGACTCCTTTATTAACCTTATTATTTTTAATCATGTGTCCTTCCAGTTCTTTGATCTACTTACTGTTTGTGTTTAACCTACTATGAATTATATATTTAATTTTAGTTGTAAATAATGTAGTTTTTCAACTGTAGCATCAACTCTTGATTATTTCCCAGTACTTCAGTTTTCTGGTTAATTCTCTCTCTCAGTACCTAGTTCTGCTATGGATTTGTTTTGATTGTCTGTGCTTTCTGTTAATTCTGTTTTTTGCCATACTTGATAATACTTTAATTCAATGCCATGGGTAACAAATGAAAATCACAAAGATTCTAGATGAATTCATGTTCTCCAGAGGAGGTTTAATTTCATTCTGGCAAGCAGTAAGATTAGTTAAAGATCTAAATTCAATCAGGGATTGAAATCATATGAGTCTGGGTTGAGGTTTGTTTTTTTTTTAATAAGAATTAATTTGCCAGGTGTGGTGTTGCACACCTGAAAGCCCCTTACTCAGGAGGCTGAGGCAGGAGAATCACTGCAAGTTTGGGGCCAGCCTGGGCTACAAAATGAGTTCAAGGCCAGCATGCACTGCATAGCAAAAAGCCCTGTCTCAAAGGAAAAAAAGAATTAATCTATGTCTTTCTCAGTAGGCTATAACCCTGTTTGAGCCCCACTGAAAACTTGAAGATTTATCAAGGCATTCCCACAATTCACAAATACAAAGATCTCAAGAGAAAAAAATGTTATAGAATGTTGGAATCACCTCAATACATTTTTTTCATTCTTCCCAGGTCTTGATCCTCAAATGTTTGATGATTTTCTAGGTCTCTAAAACCCTCAAAGGGTGGGTTTTAAGGTGCTGGGTTTAATACCCATTACTGTATGCCCCTACCAAAAAAAAAGCAGAATGGTAGTTCCAAGAGACTTTGAAAATCTTTTTATCCAGTTTTCCTGGTGGTTGACAGGAAAGTTTTGTTAGATGTAAAATAATCAAAGCTAAAAGTAGAAGTACTTACAAACTGGTTTAAGACCTACAAGCTGAGACAGTCTACATGGTGTTGCATGTATTTTCCTAGAAAAATAGTGGTTTAAATTATAGGCTATGATGTAAGAGAGCTTAGAATTTAATAATGGAACAAAGTGCTTGAGGAGAACCCCAAATACTTTAAACAATCATCGTGAGAAAATTTAAAGGGATGAAAAATTAAATTACTTTTTCTTTTTCCCTAACACATATTTTAGGGGACCTGTGTTATGGCACATTGAACAGTACTGTTTCTTTATCCTAGGTGACGTAGTGAATTACTTGAGGGAAAATAAAGAGTGTATTACTATGTGTATTGTTGCACTTTCCATTGAGGTGCGGACAAATGAAACAATCTTCACTGCTCTGTTCAACAATCAAGCATACCATTCACCATCTCTGTCCCTATCTGTGTTAGACAACATCATTTTCATGTCACTTTCTGGTGCTGATGCTTCTATAACAGTCTACAACAAACCTCAGCCACCCCCTAAGAAAACAAAAATTAAACAGGTTGAAAGGTATGTTTTTCCTTTCTTTAGAATTGACTTTTACCCTTTAAATACACTCTTCCCAACACATCTGATTATATTTCTATGATAAAAGTAGCTATTGATAGAAGTATTTTCCACTTTGTTAATTAATATGTCTGTTGTTTTTCTGCAGGACTATGAATGGACAGGAGGTAGCCATAAAATTACAGTTAGGCATAGCTCTTTTAATCAGTGGCTTTTGCTTCCTGACAGTGACTGAGAGGATCACTAAGTCAAAGCACATCCAGTATTTGTGTGGGGTCTCTACCCTTGTGTACTGGCTTTCTGCTCTACTGTATGATTTCATCATTTTCTTCATTTCCTGCTGCTTACTACTGGTAAGTGATAACATGTCTTGAGAGTTTGTTTTCTTTCTGTACCACTTAGAAAATGCTTATTTTAAGAGCTTCATAAACCTACATCTGCCAGTAAACTATTTGTATAAATTATCTTAAAAATGCATTGTAAAAGTCACTTGGTAGGCTTCATTAGGAATAAATAATTCCAATACCCTTCATTAGAAGAAAATCACTTGTTTGTGCAATAACCTGAGGACTTCTTATGGACTCGTTCTGCATTTATTTTCTCATCTTTTGCTAATTTTCAAAGCTGCTCTAAAGGTGGAAAGATACTTACCTGTAATGTCTCATGCTTAACCTGTCTTGTGTACCTCTAATGTCTCATACTACCCAGTCTTGCCTACTTTTGTCCTCTAGTAGTCCTGAGTATAATGTCAGCTTTTTAACTTTGCCTTCAAGTCTCTGTTAATTTATTTTATTTTATTTTTTCTGGTGAGTACCAGGAATTGAACTCACAACCTTGCGCTTGCCAGGCAGGCGCAGTGTTAATTTATTTTTAATTATTATTGAATAAGTGCTACCGTCCACATGCTTTCCTTGGATTCAGAGTGTGGTTTGTTTAAATCTAAATCCTTCATTCTGGTTCTCCTATTGCAATTTCTAAACAAAGGCTGTGTAGAGCACTATTTTAAAACAGCCAGTGCCTACTCACCTCTAATTCTGAACTTTGTGAAAATAAGTGTCCAAAGCAACAAAAGAAAATAAGAGCTCAGTGAGGTTTATTCTTATTCACCACAAATTCACACCCATCTGTTCTGGTTTGTGTCTGGGTGTCCCCACCGAACCACATGCAATCATGGGGTGGGCTTTTAGAGTTTATGATTGATTAATGGGTGTGAATGCTACACCGCCCTTGGGCAGGTAGATTGCATACCAGTGTAAGGGAGGGAAAGAGGCTGCTCACCACCACTCCTCCCTTTTTGCGCTTGTTGCTTTTGCTGTCTTCCACAAGGCCTGGGAGGCTAGGCAGTGTGCCCCTGAGAGGGCAGTGTGTGAAGCTGTGAGTGTGAAGCAAAAGGTGCCGTGGAGACCTCAGAAGTTTGGAACAGCCAGGAAGGTGGATTGTCTGAGGAAAGCTGCAAGGAGGGAGCAAAGTGGGCCCAAGAGAGAAGCCGTGGGAGCTGTAACTACCAGAAGTGCCATAGGGGTGGACCAACACCACACAAGCCCTTTGGAGCTCACAATGTGCCAAAAGTTGCTTCAGATGCTGGGTGTGGAACTACAGGACTTAACGTTTTTCCTGCTGGATTTGGGACTTGCTTTGGTCCCAATGCTTTGTTTCCCCCAGTTCTTACCTTTTGGAATGGTAATATTTTTCTTGTGCCATTGAATGTTGGAAGCATTTAACTTTTCATTTATTCAGGGGCTCACAGCTAAGAGTTTGCCTTACATCTTGGAGGAGACTTGGGACTTGGACTCTTCAGCAATGCTGAAATTGTTAGGACTTTCAACGGTTAGAGATGGACTAACATGCCTTTTGCAGAAAGGGATGGGCATGAGTCTTTGGCAGGCCAGGGGTGGAATATTATGGTTTATGTCTGGGTGTCCCCACAAAGCCACATGCAGCCATAGGATGGGCTTTTAGAGTTTATGATTGATTTATGGGTGTGAGTGCTACACCGCCCTGGGGCAGGTAGTTTGCATACCAGTGTAAGGGAGGGAAAGAGGCTGCTTGCTGCCACTCCTCCCTTTTTTCTCTTGTTGCTTTTGCTATCTTCTACCACCATGAACTGTTGCCCTCGGCCATGTGCCACTCTGCCTTGGAGCCAGCTGAGCATGGACTAAAACCTCCACAAACTGTGAGCTAACTAAGCCTTTCCTTCCTTCATTTTGGGCGTCAGGTATTTTGTCACAGCAACAAGAGAAAAGTAACTAAGACACCATCCAGTTTCTATTGATGAGGACTTAAAGCAAAGAATAAAACATATATGAATGTATCCACATGTTCCCTAGTGAAATATTGTCCTGTGTATGTTTCAGAAGACTGTCAAAACATCTTAACAAAAAAACTGAATGGACATTTTGCCAAAGAAGACATAAATGACCAACCAACATATGAAAATATGCTAAATTTCATTTACCTGCAGGAAAATTCAAGTCAAAACTATGAGATATGTCCATGTGCCCAGGAGGATGACTTAGCAGAAAGAGAGACACAGACAAACAGAGAGAGCACCAAGTATTTTCAGGATTTAGAGAATTTGATACTTTGCCAACTGTTCTTGAAATGCCAGATTTGCCACTGCTATGGAAACCATCATGGAAGTTCCTCAGAATACTTAAAATAGTAATATGGGTATATGATTAGACATTCTCCTATCTGGATATTTATTAAAAAGAAGTCAGAATTGCAAAGATACATCATCACTTTTGCATTCACTATGCAGTGGGAACATGGCCAGATGCAATGATATATGCCCATAATCCCAGATACTTGGGAGATTTACAGAAGATCACAAATTTAAGGACAACCTAGGCAACTTAGTGAGACCCTGAGTCAAAATAACATGTTGAAAGGGTTGAAGGTATAGCTCCATTGTAGAGTGCTTGCTTGCCTATCATGTGCAAGTCCTGGGTTTAATCCCCATTACTACTTACTCCAGCAAAAAATAAAAAATAAAAGTGGAATGGTGGTTCGCAGAGACTGATGGAAGTAGAATGAATAGTTACTGATCAACAAACAAAGTTTCAGTCAAACAAGTTGAATAAGACTGAAATTATCCTCACCCTTCTCCCTTACCATCACGGGAGTGGTGCTGAGCCCTGGTGAATTTGAGGGACGTTGGTGAGCTGCTCAGAAGAGGGGAGATTTGGTTCCCCACATCATTACCATTGCAGGAGCAATCCTGAGCCCCAGTGAACCTTAGAAACTTTGGTGTGATACTTAGGAGGGGAGAAAAACTTCACTCAACCCCCTCACCATTGTAGAAGTGATGCTGAGCTCCAGTGAACCTCAGGAGCTTCATGTTGGGAAGCTCTTGGGTAATAACCTCACCACAGCCCTACAGAGCTAAACAGAAACTGAGCAGGGACTGAGCCAAACAGAAACCAACATCCCATTCTTAAATGGGAAGATAGGATATTGGGAAAGACACAAACCAAGACTCTCCTACACACAGAAGATATCCCTGAAGCATGGACTACTCTTGGAGAGGCCTTAATATTACTGATATAGCTACCTACTATGAAAACTGACAAGGATCACTGCAGAAAACAAAATTTTTTAAAAAAAATCTTTTCAAATAGAAAATATCAAAACAAAGAAACAAAATGCAATCTCAGACCTCCAACCCATCCAGAACAAGTCCAGAAGACATTGACATGGAGGAACTTGGGAGTCACATACCTGAAATTTCTGAAATTATAGCAACTGACATAAAGAAACAACTCCATCAGGCTATAGGGAAATCAGAAATAATCTCTCAAGTAAAAAAAGACATGACAACATCAGAAGAAACAGTGGGATTCCTAGATATGTACAAATTACCAAGGTTGAGTCAAGAAGATATAAAATTCCTGAACAACCCAATATCAATTCATGACACTGAAAACATGATTTTAAAAATGCCAACAAAGAAAAGCCCAGGCCCTGAGGGATTCACAATAGAATTTTACAAGAAATTCAGAGAAGATTTAATGCCAACACTCCTAAAACTCTTCAATGAAATAACTTTTCTGGAGGCAAGCATCATACTGATACCAAAACCAGAGAAAGACCCAACCAAGAAAGACAACTACAGATGAATCTCCCTAGTGAATATAGATGCAAAGATACTCAATAAAATACTAGCAAATAGAATGCAGCAAATTATCAAGAGAATCATACATCACGCCCAATTTGGAGTCATTCCAGGAATGCAGGGTTGGTTCAATATTCGCAAATCTATAAATGTTATATGCCATATCAGTGGAGCCAAAAAAAAACCATATGATCATCTCAATAGATGCAGAAAAAGCTTTTGACAAAGTCCAACATGCATTCATGATAAAAACCCTACAGAAAATAGGAATAGATGGTCTTTTACCTTAACCTGATCAAAGCCATCTATGACAGTCCAACAGCCAACATCATTCTAACTGGACAAAAACTGAAAGTTTTTACATTAAAGTTAGGAACAAGACAAGGATGTCCGCTGTCACCACTCCTGTTCAATATAGTTCTGGAACCATTAGCCAGAGCAAATAGACAGGAGAGAGAAAGAAAAGGAATAAGGATAGGAAAGGAAGAAGTAAAACTATCACTATTTGCAGATGAAATGATACTTTGCATGGAAGACCCGAAAAACTCCACAAGAAGACTCCTTGAATTAATCAACAAATTCGGCAGTGTAGCTGGATACAAAGTCAACACCCAAAAATCGATAGCATAGACCCAGAATAGCAAAAGCAATCCTGGGCAACAAGGATAAGTCAGGTGGAATCACAATCCCTGACTGGAAATTATACTACAAAGCTACTGTCATAAAATCAACCTGGTACTGGCTAAAAAACAGCCCTGAGGATCAATGGAACAGACTGTAAGAAGCAGCCACAACCAAAAACATGCTCAGCCACCTCATCTTTGATAAAGGGGCCAAGCAAACTCACTGGAAGAATGATAGCCTCTTTAATAAATGGTGCTGAAAAAATTGCTTTGCCACTTGCCAAAGACTGAAAATGGACCCAAGTGTATCACCATGCCCCAAACTCAAGGCAAAATGGATCACAGATCTCAATATTAAACCAGAAACACTAAATTGATTGGAAGAGAAACTAGGTAAAAACCTTGAAGACACAGGGGTAGGCAGAGAGTTCAGGAACAAAAACCAAATTGCATGTGAAACACTTGAAAGAATCAATAACTGGGATTTCATCCTACTGAAAAGTTTCTGCACATCTACAGAAATCACCAGCAGAGTAAAAAGAAAACCCACAAACTTGGAAAAAAATTTTAGCTGACTGCCCCTCAGACAAAGGGCTTCTATCTAGAACATATAAAG